CATAAAAACAGGCGCTTGTCCGTCCGTAGTGTGGTTATATTAAATATAAGAGAAAGAGAGAACTTTAAGAATATAGCCACTACAGTGACCATCAAAACAATGAAAAATATTGCCGTAAACAGTTTATTTTGCGACACCACGAAACAAACGATAGCGTAAAATGAAACGATAGACGTTTTTATATCGTCATCCGATATATATCGTTATATCGAACAGCCCTAATCTCATGTGTCAATAAACATCTAAATTATAAGAGGAGTGAAATTTTACAGGGTTTTTAAACGTTAGCCAATTGCTGAAGAATAACCAATAATTCAGAAGTGCTTCAGACTTTCACAAGCAGCTGAGCACTCTCATTTTTAACAAGTAATTATTTAGTAATAGAAAAATCATTTCCATTAACCTTTTCTGCCATGCACGCACGTACGTGGACACAGATAGCAGACACATACACAAACACACCCACTGGTCTACAAAAAAAAAAAAGTTTTTGTTTCTAATCACTGACATTTTGACACTTTTGAATATCAATGTATCAACAAAATGTCTGGAATTTCAACTCTTGCCCACCAAAATTGTTTTAATGTCATTGTTCTAAAAACAGGCCAGAACGTAATATCAGAGACACGCAAAAGATGTGTAGTTCTGTCAATTTAGCTCAAAATAAAACAAGCCCAGTATGCTCAAAAATCTTTGAGGCACCTGATTTTGTGCTTGTTCTGAACCAACAACATTTACTCACCGTGCTCGGATTCAATTTCCTCTGATATCAGTTTTTCACTTTTATACCTTGATGAAATCTTGCCCCGTGCTCATCGATGTCATCCAGATTTAGTGGGAATACAATACACGAGGATACAAAAACTCCATCTTCAGTAACACTGATACACTTTCAGAAAGTTATCCACAGCCTCAGCATAATTCTCTGCTCCCCCCCAACAAACAAAAAACCAAAAACAAAACTGTTGACAACTTGCACGAATGCTGCTGATGTAGTTGGCTTCAGTTTTCCTTTGAACCCATCGTCAAGCATCAACGCCTTCCTTAATTTTAGCTCCACTTTTTTCTTAAATGCTATAACGTGCCGTCTTTTCTGTCCAGTCACACTAGCTGTCCAATACTTGGAACACCATAACTAAAAAAAACACAGGACGTGCTAGATGAAAATAGTCACCAAGTGAAATTTATTAGAGGTGAAAGAATCCCAGCAGCACTGGCTTGTTGGCCAGTGTTATCAAAAGCACCAGGAGAAGAAATGAAACCAGCTTTACTTCAAAAAATAAACAGTAAAAAGCTGTGTGACACATCTTTGAAATGCCAATCAATCTGATAACTCTACATGCAGGGCACACCAGCTAAGACAAAGACCAGAATTATAATCATTTGAGGTGTTCAGCAGTAGTTCGGACGTCCCCCCGATTCCACGTACAAGTGTTGGGAGCCACTTGACGTCAACCAAACACAGAGCAGTGCTGCTTCCTGCTTCTCAGTGGGCTTTAAAGCAGCCCAGCATGCCCTTCTTCACAGCATGTCAGATACCTGAGGAGGTTTGATCGCTGCTGATCTGTGTGTGTGTGTGCGCGCAGTGGAGTGAACATCCCGTGTATTACTCTGCCTTCACTGGAAAAACATCCTCTTAATCAACACCATCCACAAGTGCCTGGATGTACACTGTGTCTCCATGAGCAGACATCACATCACACAGAGGTGTATGAGAATATTCCTACAGAGCAACACACACTTCACCCTTTTCAATCCGTAAATTGCCACCCACTTACCCACTTTTGTTTCCCCTGGGACAACGTGTGAGTGTTGTGGAAAAACGTCAAGCTTCAATGAGAAGGTACAGTCAGTGATGCAAGTGGTAATACCCTCCACCTAATTCCCCTCAAGAAAGTATTCAAGATTGACAAGTCGTTTGCCAGCGAGCAGATCTTGAATCTTATAATGACCAGAAGTCAAAATGACCCCAATTTTCTTTTCAGTATGACCCCAAACAAACAACTGATCCCATAAACACATCAATGTTACCCACAGACTTACATATAACTCTTTTTGCAACCTTTGCAACTGTATTTTGTAGATAAAAGTGGTTGGAAATCAGGTGACAACAAGCTAGTCACCAAGGCTGGTGAACTTTTTTCCAGTCCTAGAGACTCGGGATGGGATAACCTATAAGTAAGCTTGAAGTTACTTAATTTGAATGCAGTCCAATTAATATCTGCTGCTTGATTTACAAGGTAACACAAAAGAAAATACCCCCAAACTGAAAAATGTTCTCAGTTTGCTCATCTACAATGATTTAACATGAAGTTATAGCAGGCAGACACCGGCCTGTTTTAATAGATAACAAATAGCTGCATTGCTGAGGGGGGCATGCTGTTGCATGTTTACACAAGATCTATCAGACAACCCCGTATGTATGCAGTGGTAAGACTACGAGAGAGGCTTTTTAGCCCTCTATCTCAGCCAGAATCATTTTAAATCATTTAAACCTTTGTAACCTGAAGTACACAGCAAGAGTACACTCTACACTATGCATGCTTTCTTGTATTTTTCTGCCCACTGCAGATCTGCTGACAAAGATGCAGAAAGTGGAATGGTCATCAGGCCAATTAGGTCTGATTGTAATCTGGAAAACCCATCAGCTACTCTGCTCACTAAGTCCCAATATTTCCGGGCTCTTGGTATAACCGGCGGATATCCGGGCAAGTACAAATATGGCCTTAATTTTAAAAAAGCTAACAAAGAGGAACGTCATTCCCAGATGTACAGCTACACCAGGGAACAGCTAAAGCACCCACCCATTATTGGCCTGAGTAAGTTGATTATTTAGTGTTTTGTTTGTATGATTTTTATTTCTTTTTTATGATGGCATTTATTCTTATTTATATTTTCAATCCTCCGGGAAGAACAATGTATCACTGTAAACCTATACAAAGAGACAATCATTAAAATGTATTTTAAGTTATCATAAAAGTGTGATATTACAATTTTTGGTCATACTGCCCGGTAGGCCTGCACAATAAATCGAAAATTTATTGTCATCGCGCAGGCCCATCGCAAAAGACGACGTAAACTGCAATAACTGGGTACCTTAAAATGTATACACACGTGCTTTAAAGAATTTACCAATCAAAGAAACCCCTTTACACATTTGACCAGTCAAATAGAGCCCTTCACGGCATTAACCAATCAAATGGATTAGAGGCCCGCCTCCTACGCAGGTGGGGAGCGAACAACGCTGCAGCAACGAGTCAGAGTTGTAAAGGCCGAGAGCGAGACGCATGACGAGAACGCTACTGACTATGAACTTGTGCCTAAAAAAGAAAAAATAGTACCTCGCTTATTTGGAGGTACTTTGGATTTGATAAAGACAACGTTCTCTAAACACAGGTACTCTGCAAAACTTGCCGAACACTCGTGGAAACCACCAGAGGAAACACGACTAATCTCCACCATCGTCTTCAATACAACCACAGAGAACTGTTTGAAGAGTTCCAGAAAGACAGGGCTAGCCAAACAAAGGTTGCTAATGTTAAGACAAAGAGCACAGCAGTCCAACAGCCGTCTCTGTATCAGAGTTTTTCAAGTGGAATTCCTTATGAGAAAACGTCGAAGCGGTACAAAGAAATAACAGAGGCCATTACACATTTTTTGACAAAGACATGATGCCTATAAATACAGTTAGCAGAGAGGGCTTCACCAGTCTGATACATGAAGTGGACCGGAGAAGCCGCATCCCTTCACGAAACTACTTTTCCCATGTCCCATGTCGCCATTCCACAAATGTACGAAACATGCCGCAAGACCGTCACGTTTGAACTGAGCCAAGCTGAAAACTACGCAAGCACTACAGTAAAGTTTCCTCTCCAGTTTTGACTTACATCATAACTACTTGGTGAGTGGTAAAATAATGAACAACTGCATTGAGATAATTTAAGTTATGTTTATTTAAAACTAATTCTAGAGACCGGGAAGGATGTCTTTCAGAATTCAAGCCTCAGAAATTTTTTTATGGGGGCAATGTTTCAATGTTAAAGTGCACTTTGTTGTTACACCGCTAATACAGCAGCTTTCATTAAATAAAACTGTTGCAGTAAAACGGAAATTATGCATTCGTTTTTTTTGGGGTTTTTTTTGCTATTTAAGTCATATTGTTATCGCAGTATTGATCACAGTTATCGCACATCGCAGGTTTTCCTAATATTGTGCAGCCCTACTGCCCAGTCCTACGACAAGCAATGCCTTTGGGACTCACAAATGCAAAATCTCTTTTGCTCTTTACATGGGCTCCTTACCTTTATACATCGAAAGCCTGCTCAAACGCTATTGGTCAGTATTGCTAAGAAT